CGTGCTCATGTGGCTTCCTCCTCGCTCTGAGCTCTGGGTGCACGTCTGTGGGCTGAAGGCCGACGTAGCTTTCCACTGGGGCTCGCCATCTGCAGGGGCCGCAGCAAAGCTGGCTGGAGGTCTGAACCCTATTTCAAAGCCAGCAGCTGATCTGGATTGTGTGGGGGGGGTGGCGGCTGAGGTCCTGGGGGAGGACCTGCTGGGCCCCACATGTTCCAGCGGGTGGGCGAAGCCAAGTGCAAAGGCCACATTGTTTAGGATGGAGGCCTCTTGGCAAGTCAGCTATTTCTGGAATGACATTGTCTCCGAGAAGTAAGGAAAATGGAGACTTGTGTGAGGGCTGTGGGCTGGGAGGTGTGAGGGTGGCGGCCCAGCCTTGTGAGCCCCGCGCCTTTGAGAGCAGCCGAGCGTCATGCAGCTGTGTGGTGCTGCCTCTGGCAGCTGGGTTCGTCCCCTCCGATGGCCTCTTTCCTCACAGCTTGTTTCTCCCGTGGCCTCTTCAGTGTATGTTCTAACTGTTCTCCTGATTGAGTCAGAGAGCTTTTCTGAATTGACCAGAAGGGGACTCGAGGGCAGTCGGGACAAGAAGGGGTGGCTCCGTGCTGGCAATGAGAGTGCAGGAGGATCTAGGTGAATGTACATTTAAAGGTGCTTCATCCACCCTGGCTGGTGGCTCAGTTGGTTGGAGTGCCATCCCATGCACCAAAAGGCTGTGGGTTCCATTCCTGGTCAGGGCACGTATCCAGGTTGTGGGTTCAATCCCGGGTCAGGGCGCGTTTGAGAAACAACCAATCCATGTTTCTGTCTCACATCGATGATTCTCTCTCTCTCTCTTTAAAATCAATAAACATATCCTTGGGTAAGGATAAAAAAATAAACAAAAAAAACAAAAATGCTTCATCCTTTCTGGGCCCTTAACTTACTGGCCTGCAGGGCCCAGGCTAAGAATACAGCTGAGGGGGCAGATGCACTTCCTTCATTGCTTAGCTGCCCGCGGCAGGAATCTGACCTTGAAGTGAGCTTTGATCATGGAGCCACTCACCCTTCCCTGTATCTCCTGGGGATCTGAGTGTGCCTGCAGCCACGGCCCATGTCCAAAGGCTGTAAGTAGCCCTTTCACCTGGCCCTCGCATTTAGAACAGTAGGTCAGCGAAGAGTTTTAGGGCTTTTCATTCCTGTGCTCAGCACCAAGGATGTAGGTAAAAAGGCTGCCACTGGGAATCCCACCATGTTTACGAGACCCTGGGAGGCCTGGAGGAGGGCATTGGGCACTGGCTGTGTCTCTGGCAGTGACTGCGAACTTGTCCCAGGGCTTGGGTAGGTGTCTGTCCCCTGCAATTGGCCATGCCTGCAAAGTCCCGCCTGCCACGCAGGTTCACGCGCAGCTCACGGGAAGGCCTGGAGGAGCCGGGCTCCATGCTCAGCACTCGGAAGCTTGCGGGTCAAGCGTCCACAGCCCCTGACCTCGCAGGAGGCCAGGCCGGCGAGCCCCCCTGTAGGATAGAGGTCAGGAGTCCCCCCTTTTATAGGCACCCACACCCCTGGATGTTAATGAGGTTGTATGTAGCATGAACACTTTGTAATATTGATCGATTAAATGTAAGACAACTCAAAAAAAAAAAAAAATTGCAGGCTACCATGTGCCAACCTGCAGGATGGCCATGAGTATTGCTCCGTATAAAACAGGTTTGCCATTGGCAGCTGTTCCATTGCATCCAACTAATAATTATCTTCTGTACATCTGAGCTGTTGGGCTATTGCAGGGGTTGGCACATGGTAGCCTGCAAATTAAAAATGTGGTCAGCAGAACTAGGTAACAGAGCCATCCCTGTTCTAACCAGAGCGTGTGACCGCCCGGGAGAGTTGGGGCTCCCATATCCTCACCTGGGACCAGGCACCTGCGTGCCTGGAGCGTGTGGCGTCAGCTTTTCATCGCTGCCGCGCTGGTCTGGGCCAGTTCCCACGAGTGGTTCAGGCTGTGGAGCAAAGTCCCACGGACCTCAGAATCACCTCGGGGCATCGAGGGCTTCTCTTCGGGGCAGTACCAACCGGGCTTTGGAATCTTTACCCAGCGCTTCCCCCTGGTCTCTGTTTCCCCCTCTGCCCATCAGCAGCTTGAATGGCCAGCGGCTGAGGAAAGGAAAGTCCCTTCACTCCTCGCGGGGGGACCCAGTCCTGCCCAGGGCTCCACTAGCGCTTTGAGTTTGGGAATTCTCACTTCTTATTGACTGCCGTGTCTTCTTTACCGTGTTATCTTTTAAATTGGTTCTAATTGTTTATGTATTACATGAAAATAATCTCCTTATTAAAAATAAATCAAATGATATAGGCCAAATGAAGGCCTTCTGAACCAAATTGTCCTTGTTCTAGCTCCAGTTCCTGGGGGTAACCATTGATATGAGTTTAGCAAGTCATTGCTTCCTTTTCCAATGAACACACACACATTCATGTATGTGTACATATGTATACACATGTAGTTTTTTGGTGTGTATTTACATAATGACATCATGTTGTGTGTACACCTTATTCTTTTTTGAATATATTTTTAATGATTTCAGAGAGGAAGAGAGAGGGAGAGAGAGATAGAAACATCAATGATGAGAATCATTGATCAGCTGCCTCCTGCACACCCCCCAATGGGGATAGAGCCCACAACCCGGGCATGTGCTCTTAGCCTGAACCCCAGACTCTTTAGTCCTCAGGCTGATGCTCTATCCACTGAGCCAAACCAGCTAGGGCTACCTACTTTCTTTTTGTTAATATTTGCCTGGTGCCTCTTTTAAAAATCTTTGATTTTTTTTCTTATTTGATTTAGGTGTACCTCTTATATGACTATACATAAGAATGATGTAATTCAAAATGAAATTCTACATCGTATAACGAGTTACTTGAATCCATTCACATATATTGTAATTGATGATGTGATTGGACTTACTACCTTTATGTATGTGTTTTATTTATTGTGATTCTAGTTGAAAATCTTCCTCTTTAACTTTAGTCCTCAGGGGCTTAACCAACCAAAGGGCCTGGCTCAAAACAGTAGGTGTTCAACAAATGCTCATTGAATGAAAACTTCCTGATCTACTAATTCTGATCTGATTTGAGAAACAACTGTTGACAAAATATCTCAGTTGTAATGGAGATGGGACTAAAGTTCAAATGATTGTTAAAGAAGTTTCAAGAAGGATTTAGGTACATTATCTAGTCTAAGGGGTCTTCCCTGTTCATGTAGATTTAACAAAACCATGTAGGAGATTCTGAGTTTTCTCAATATGAGGTCTGGTAGAAGTTCCCGTTGTCATGGCAGTGGAGGTAAAGACTAAGGTGAGATCTCAGACCTGGAGAGGAAAACCTAGGATGTGGTCTGTGCCAGCCACGCTCCTTCTGCGGTTGCGCGTTGAGGAACCCCCAGCAAAGCTGAGTCGCGCTGTTTTAGTTGTGGATCTGCATCTTGTCTCAGATTGCTGTAGGGTTCTAGCTTCACCTACTGGAGTGCTGGGTAATTGGTTTACTTAAAAATAATAATGCGATGGCAACATTAGCTTTATTGCCGATGGTTCATCAGGAGAACCACTGTGCTGGAGACAAACGTTTCGTTGGGGATATATAAAAATCAAGCCAGGATGGCTCAGAACCCATTCAACATCGATTTCTTACTTTAATTGATAAAGAAATGGAAAAAATAAAAAAAGCACCTGTTCTGTCACAGTGAAAAGAACACCACGCTAGAGTCAGGCCTCCGGGTTTGGCTGTGCCAATGGGCTCATCCAGACGTCCCTGGACACCTCTGTCTTCCAGGACAAAGGAGCTGATGTAGTCGACCTCTCCTGTTCCTTCCAACTCTAATGCTTCTCCTATGTCTGGAAAATCTCATGGGAAGCTCCAGTGACAGTTAATCTACCCAGCACCTTTAAAATTCTCCATGAGCTACGACTTGTAACCTAAACCAGGTTTATATCCAGCTAGGATTATAAACCCTCCACATTTCATAGCTGTGGGTGCTGTGTTGCGCATCACCGTGCTTTTTCTGAGCTGTTGCACACTAGCGGGTTCCTGAGTAGAGAGTATAACCCCGGGCCTCCTTCGGTTATGTTTGCATGTTTAGAGCAGTGCTGTCCGGCGCGTCTTTGGCACTTGGAAGGAAGGACACAGGTGACAGGTGGGCAAGGCCCAGCGCAGCTCTGCTAAGTGGACGCCCTGGGTTTCCCTCTGGAGAGCAGAGCCCAGGTGTGTCCAGTCCTCCTCGGTTGCTGAAATGACATTATTTGCAGTAGGTGGTGAACTCCAGAACTCTTTCTTGCCTGACTTTCAGATGGAAGCCTGGAGATTTGATCTAAGGCGAGGGGGTTCCATAAAGAGGCGGAAGTGTAATCCATGACCACTGCACACATGATTTGAGCACAAACTGCTCTGCACTGAGGTTAATGATGAGGGTCAAGATTGGCCAAGAACAGATACAGCTTGGCTGAGCAAATGGATCTTCATAGCTCTTCTCCATCAGCATTTTCTTCCATTTTCTACCATTTCCTTATTCCCATCCATCCCAAGATATTTATATTCTCTGGGGGATGCTAACATTTTGAACAGTGGTTTTAAGCTATTCTTGTGATGTAGGGATTCCAATAAGCCCTTCAGAAAGCTCTGAAGTGGAGAAGAGAGAAGTCGGTGGGTGGGGCTCAGACCCTCTTTAACACATACATATATGTGTAAGTAATACATTTGGCAGAAAGACTGGAAGGCAACTCAATACATTTTAATTTGAATTTAACTGTTAGTGGTAGGACTGTAGATATTGTCTTACAGCCCTTTCCTAAAATGTCCACAATTGACTTTTAAGAGGACAAAAGTGAATTGTCCGATTTTTCTCATAAAAGAGGGCTTGTGCAGCCTGGGAGGACTGTGGCTCTCAAGGGTCATGGTGCACCAGGCCCCATGTTCCTCGTGACCAGGCCCTCCCTTGGCCATGCTGGTGGTGCTCACCCCGTGTCTCTTCCCTCCAGAATGGCTGCAGTCTGTCCAGGCCACCATGATCCTGTCCATCATCTTCAGTGTGCTGTCCCTCTTCCTGTTCTTCTACCAGCTCTTCACCATCACCAAAGGGGGCCGGTTTTACCTCACTGGGATCTTCCAGATTCTTGCTGGTAAGTAAGTGGTGACGATGAAGTGCATGCAGGAGCTGGGCCTGATCAGTTAGTAGGAGGGTGTGGCCCTGGAGTGATTGATGTTTCCTGAGTCTGCTCATGGGATGGTTTTCATAAAGTACAGATGTGTGTGTGCGTGTGTGTGTGCACCTGTGCATATATCTTAGAATCAGGGAACTACCCACTTCTTCATGGAATGGTGTGCATAGGAAATAGGAGTTAGGGTTCTGGAAAGAAGGTTCCTGACCCAACCCGACCTGTCACCAGGAAGAAAGCTGCAATATGGGCCCACGATCAGAGTTCAATGCTGAGGGTATCAGTACAGCAGAGGCCAGTCCTGAGGATGGATTCCTAGAGATTAGGTTATGCCCCAGGGAGCTATTCGGCCTCAGCCTAGAGAAATGGCCCTGACGCGCTGTTGAGAACAGCCAAGGCGTTCTCGGGTGCGTCTCTTACTCTGCGCAGCGATGAAGCCACGCTAACGAACTCCTGCTCTCCTGCACTCCAGCTTCTCCGTTCCCCTGGGCTTGATTTCCTGTTGTCACTTCAGGTGTCTTCATTTTGTCACCATTGTATAACCCGCCATCATTTCCCAAACAGGGGTCCCTGACAGCACATAAGCTCTTTATCTCCTCCCTAAACTGCTTTCAAGCCTCCCCATTGGACAGGCTGTATGATGCGAGAGTCCCAGAGGCCTCTAGTGTAGAGGGCGAATCCTCCGACTTTGTCTCTCTTTTCTGAACAGTGTCTTACTCTACCATTTCATCCTTTTGTCCATTGACTGCCAGCTGACTGAGTCAGCGGGACATTGAGAGGAGTGAGAGACAAATGTGGTGGGTTCTATAGCCCAAGTTAATATCACAGACTCCATATGGACCAGAGTACATCTGGCTGCTGAGAGATGTTCTAGATTCTGGCCATTCCGAGTAGACAAATGGCATCTTGTTTTAGTTGATTGTCAGAATGTCCCCGGTGCTGAGTCACCAGCTTGTGCTCAGAAGCAGTCATGTGGAGGGTTGAAAACAACCCATGCATTCTGGATGGATGGATATAATGGCTTGCACAGGGCTGTATGGACGAACACAGTCTGAGGTTGAATATTGATGACCTTTTCTAAAAGCCAGAGAGTTACTGGAAAATGCAAGTAAACTGGAGATCCACTTCCCATTAAATATTTAAATATAATGTTTCAATATGCACAGTGTTAGGGTTTCAAAACCAAATAGTGCTTTGCACTTGCACAGTTTTATTATACCAAACCAAGCTCCTGGATTGTCGCCAGCTTTGTGAAATTACTAATTATGCAGTAAGATCATCTGTTGGCATGCTAGCAGCAGAGTTATCATTACTCACTCCATTTCCAGAGGCGATACACAAGCCTAAAATGTATTCTGGGATTTCTTTGGTTCACCATTTAAGTGTGATTGGTATTCAAATGATGATTATACCCATTGTACCAATGGATGTGTCCTCAAGATAAAGTAATATAGACCTAGGAAGCAGAAGTTTCATGAAATATTTATATTTGATCTGCACAAGCTTGTTACTTGACTGATGAGTAAGCTGGTCTTGGGGGAGAATAAGCTGAATGCTCCCACCCCCTCAGACCACGGGGATGAATACAGGAAGGCGCCTCTTTATATTGAGAGATGCAGGACACACCACCATTTCCAAGGAACACAAAATCCAAGGTAGAAACTCTGCTTTCTGCATTATTTTTCATTGACTGATTTACAGTGGAAGCTCAGTGCAAATTTGCATTAGTCACTATTCTGAAGGTCCCATGCACCCTGCATCTTCAGAACTACTTAGACTGAAAGCACTGGCTGAGAAAAGCCTGTCGCTGTTGCAGGGGCCCTGCAGGGCAGGCAGCCCTGTTCTTTCCCACTGAGCTAGCTCAGCTTTAAATCCCGTAACAGTGCCTCTGCAACCACGTCCTGATAAATCCAGAGTTAACAACCATGAAGTCACAAATGCTGGCCCTGCCCTGTTTTAAAGTATTTTGTTCAGCAAAAAGCTCTTAGCAGTTGAGGTTTTTTAATCTTCCGATGTGTATTTACTGTCTGTACTCACTTCACTGCTTTGATTCACCTCTGAACCCAATGCAAGCCTTGTTAGAACTCTGTAAAAACCCCTGAATTTAAAAGCACTAAGTTGTTCTTCCTTTATCTCCTTCAAATCTAGCTGCTTATCTCTCACAAGACCCGGTTTTCAGTTATGAGTTTGTCAGTTTAGCCGTCCATATCTTGAATTAGAAATGTTGAGCCAAAAATAGCAGTTGTAAGTTGTAAGTCCTACGAATGCTCCGTTCTTAACTGTTAACTCCAGCCAACAGGACCTGGAAGTTTGTCTTTTAGGAACCTCAGGTCTCTGGAATGTTGCATTTGAACTTGCTGTAGGGTCTTTCCATTAAAATTGAGAACTAAATGGGTTAGGGATTTGACAGATTTCCTGACTCTAAATGTGTGGCAACTCTAAATCAACGTTATCACGTGTGTTTCCCGATTCACAACCCATTTAGAAACCAGCAACCAGAGAGAAAAGTAGGGACGGTTGTTGGAGTTGGGAACTGGGGACAGCCTGAGAAGTTACAGCTTAATGTGGAGGGACAGATCAGGAAGCTGAAACAGACAAAAACAAAAAGGGGAAAGGAGGGAGGGAGCGGGAAGCAAGTAGCCCCGCAATCATGGAATGTAAACCGAAGTGTTCCTGCCACAGTAGGTAGGGTCCATGCAGGGTAAAAGCATCCTCAAAGCCAAAAGCATTTTAAGTGGAAGCCACCAGACTCCCAGGTGACAGGTGCAGGCTGGATTGTCCTGCATAGCTTCTCTTGGGGTGGGGTGGGGGGGCAGCTGTGATCTTTACAGATCGGGCACCTAAGGGTGTGGGAAGGTAGTGAGAGGTGTGTGGGGCTCTTGGGCTGACTCTAGATTCGGGAGCTGCGTCTGCCTTTCTCCAGATTACAGCTCTGCGTGCGGTTATAGGTCCACCTGCTTTGCTGCGTCATCCTTTCTCCATTTCATAACAAGCCACACGTCTCACATTTAAGAGCTGTCTTTCCGTGATTACATACTTCTTAGGTTGGCTGCTTCCTAAAGACATATCAAGAGGCGTCTTCACCTAGTTAAGTGCTTTTCGAGCTTAGCTGCACAACAGAATCACCTTTTAGAAGAGGGGGTGCTTTTTAAAAAAAATTCCCGTGCTCAGATTTTATGCCTGGAGACTCCTATTAAGAGCTCTTGGATGGGGCCGCTCCCTGGGTGACTGAGGTTCCTTTAGGGTCAGAACGACAGGGTGTAGCCTTTAAACTGCCCCTAATCCCACTACCAGTTCTTCAGGGACATTTCTTCACAGACAGCGCCTCCTGTTCACGAGCCACCGATTCTTCTCTACCTCCTTCTTAGACAAAGGCCATGCTGATCCTGTGTCTGGGTTTTGGTCTCATTCTCATTTGCAGAGCCTGTAGCCACCTGCTTCCAGATAGCAGTTACCCTGGCCCTAGCTGGGTTGCGGTGGGTTGCGCTAGATGGGAAAACATCAAGAAATTCATACAGATTCACACCTGAAAAGGAGCTGTGCGTGTTTTTATAGATTTCACTCCTTACACCAGCCATGAGCTCTGTGTACACCACGTAAAAGAAGGCCTCGAACAACCTGCTCGCTGGATGACTCATAACTGTGGTCCATGGGCAGAATCAAACTTAGGTCACATGTGTAGTGACTGTTCATTGTCATTGAAAGGAACAGAAAACATGGGAGAAGGAGACTCCTGATTTTACTTGCTGGTTTTACTTGCTGTTTGTTTTGTTTCCTGTCAGGTTGATATAGGTATAAGTATAGGGCTTTAGGATGAAATCATTTGAAAGTTGAATAAGAGCACAGTGCCTCCTCTGTTCTGAGTAGATCAAGGCAGCTTCAGTTGGGCACCACATTCAGCACCCTCCTTATGAGGGAATCATTCCAGATGTTGCACTGGCTGTGCCCCAAATCTGAAATGCCGTGGGCGACTTCCTAGGCTGCAGGGCTCACGTGACTGCTGAAATGGCAACTGGGCCAGCTGCACAGAGAAGACTTGTGCAGATCAGACGTAGAACCAAAGCTTTCAGCAGGACAGACCACCTTATCACCCTGAGGATGGGGCTGGCGAGACAGAGGCCCTCACTCACTCATCACACCAACACCACGAGGCACCTTCCCCACAGGCGTTCACTCTCCAGCCAGGCTCACTCGGGCTTCTGCTGCAGGATCTCAAAGGAGCTGCTTTGCAAAGGTTACCAAGGTCCACTTTTAAGCCATTTGCTGACTTCCTCCACTCCTTTCTGTACTGTTTTCTACCCACTCTTTGAAACTGTTTATTCCCTTGGCTTCCACGCCATTACTGTTTTCCCAGTTACGTAAGTTAACCCACCAGTCATGCCAGAGCCCCCTCTTCCTCCTCCATGCCCAGTCCACCCGATTCCTGCCATCAGATATCACTCATAGATATTGTGTCCACTTCTTCTCTTTTACTCACTAACAGCATTGCAGCTGTGCAAAAGCCAATTCATGCAACTTTCTGTCCCCACCCCTACACCTACTTTCCACATGGCTGTTGGGGCGCACTTTCTAAAACACACAGCTGAGCATCCTTTCTCCTCTGCTGAAGAAGTACTTCCCTCTACCACTTCAACACGCCATTGAAGCCCCCTCTTTCCTGGCCTTATGAGCTCCCCGGCTTCATCTTGCACTGCTCCTCCTGTATCATGGGACACTCTTATCATCACCTGCTGGTGGTTTCCACCAAGCTCTATGTTTTCCTTGCCTTGCTCATGCTCTTCCTGAATTCCCTTCCCACCTTTCTTCACCTGGCTAACTCTTACACATCCTTTAGTCCCAGGTCAAGCACCATCTCCCCGTCAGGCTTCCCCAGTCCCTAGTTTGGGCTCAGTGCCCATCCATGCATTTCTCTCACCCTCCCTTGAAGTCACATCATACAATATTGGAAGTTTCTACTGACATGTCTCTTTTTGAATGACGCTCACCCCATGATGGTAGGGGCTGGGTCTCTTTATCTAGATGCTCTAGAACAGTGCCTGCACACAATAGATACTCACTGCATGTTTCTTGAACCAATCAGAATAAAGATAAGGAAGTTTAGAGAATTCCCACCATTTCTTTCTTCCTTTGCATTCAGCCCCTTGGTTGCTCCCTCCCAAAGTTTTGGGCTCGAATCGCTCACCTGCAGCTGCTATCATCACCAAAGGAGGCTTGAGGTCTCCTCTTCAAGAAGACTCTAAAGGAAGAATTTCCTGGGAGTTGTTCAGAGCCAGCCATCCCTAGGCAGGTAGAAACTGTTGTGAACTCTTGAATGGGCAGCACTTTTATGTTGTTTGGACAGGTTCTGTGTCCTTCCACTTAAAAAGGCCTACACTCCCAGATGCAGGCCCCTCACAGGGCAGGTCACTGCCAAAGCCCAGACTCTTGCTTGTGGGGAAAGAGCACCTGCCAGTGTGTCAGGAGCTTCACTTACCTTCACCATAGGGACCTTCACTTACCTTCACCATAGGGACCTTCACTTACCTTCACCATAGGGACCTTCACTTACCTTCACCATAGGGACCTTCACTTACCTTCCCCATAAGGACCTCACTTACCTTCACCATAGGGACCTTCACTTACCTTCACCATAGGGACCTTCACTTACCTCATATAGGGACCTCACTTACCTTCACCATAGGGACCTCACTTATCTTCACCATAGGGACCTTCACTTACCTTCACCATAGGGACCTTCACTTACCTTCACCATAGGTACCTTCACTTACATTCACCATAGGTACCTCACTTACCTTCACCATAGGGACCTCACTTACCTTCACCATAGGGACCTCACTTACCTTCACCATAGGGACCTCACTTACATTCACCATAGGTACCTCATTTACCTTCACCATAGGGACCTCACTTACCTTCACCATAGGGACCTTCACTTACCTTCACCATAGGGACCTTCACTTACCTTCACCATAAGGACCTTCACTTACCTTCACCATAGGGACCTTCACTTACTTTCACCATAGGGACCTTCACTTACCTTCCCCATAAAGACCTCACTTACCTTCACCATAGGGACCTTCACTTACCTTCACCATAGGGACCTCACTTACATTCACCATAGGGACCTCACTTACATTCACCATAGGGACCTTCACTTACCTTCACCATAGGGACCTTCACTTACCTTCACCATAGGGACCTCACTTACCTTCATCATGGGGGACTTTCAGAAATTCATTTCCATGCACTGGCTGCTGAGAAATTGAGTCATAGTCCACTTATGGGGAGCAATGTCTGACTTTTAGGGACTATTTCATGGCATTAACTGCTCTCGATTCCAGGGCACAACTATTGCTTTATGTATAGAAAGCCTTGAAATAATGTATCCCCTAAAACTCCAGTCTACTGACAACAATAATTATGACGTGTGTATCCTCTCTTTGACTTAGTAAGTATCTAAGCTTGTTGCTTTTTAAAGCAAAACTTAAATTCATTTGCTTCTGAGGTTCCACTTGGGTAGATGTCATAAATTAAGCCATCTAGTTAGTCATCACACTTGTGTATCCTGCCTCACTCCATCCCTCTTGGTTGTTGGTGGAATGTTTTCTTTGCCAGTGAAGTCTGCGCACAGCTGGCCTCCATGGCTACGATGGCATTTTCCACGCCAGTGCTGGTTAGACACACCCCATTTGGAAGGCCTACCAACACGATATGCATTGTCCTGGCCTCCCAGCATTCTCTTTAACCTCCCTCTCTCCTTTGTTCATGCTTCTCTTTTTATAGCCCTGCCCTCATTGGATAGCTAGGCTATAGCTCAAGAGGCAACTTCAATATTTCTTAAAGATAGGAATTAGCACTTTAGAAAGGTGAGTCATGGAGCAGTGGGGGAAGACCACTGAGGATCATGGGCCTCAAGGCTAATAGTGTGTCCCCAGCAGATTAAAACTCTCTCTAAAACAGATTTGCCAGCTGCAGTTCCCCCTCTGACACAGATGTCCTCGCTGCCTCTCAGACTTTCCGTAGGTAGCGGGATCCTGGCTCTGATCCCACTGTAGTTCTAAGACTATTGTGTGGCTTTCCCGACGGGGGCCAGTGGAGTAGGAGTGTTCTGCTCTGACTTGCAGAAGGACAGTATTATCAGGGCAGTGAATGTGACAAATTCCAATTCTGCACTTTATTCAAACAAAGTTGCAGTGTCCCATCAAATAGCAGTGAGGTTAGATGTAGGTGGTCCAGACCATCGGGAGCTTTGGAACCGCAGGAATCCCACACGGCCTGCTGCATTCATAATAGAGTCACTCAGAGCCTTTGAAAGACCCTGCTTTCAGGAGGAAACAGAGCAGGCTTTGTGCAACTCCAGGCTGGGTGCTGAGGTCACTGGACCCTGCCCCACAGGGGATTCTGACTGCCATGGTGGGCATGGACTATCGCATTTGAACTTACCTGCTTCATGAGGACCAAGGTGGACGTGTTCTTCTCCTTCCCACACCCAAGTGCTGCAGTGGTGGCCAGAGAGGGTGGCCTGGCCTACCTGTGTATGTGACATCGTTGCACCCTCTTTTGGCTTCAAATCCAACCTTGGAGGAACCAAGAACTGTTGAAAGGGGCCCGGTGCAATGAGCTTGCCCTTGGTAGTCTCCTCCCCCTGCATGTCCTGTCCTTCCTCCTTGTCTCCTCACTTTTCATCTCCATATGTTCTGTCTAGTTGTTCATGTCTTACATGACAGTCCTGCTGAGGGGATTAGCATGGAGTCCTGCCCCTGTGCTCTGCCTGGAGCTCAACACTGTTGCCATGACACAACTCCAATAATGGTAAAGTGTCACTGCACTTTCATTGGCTCCAGAAAACACTCACTCATTTGGAGAGTGGTCACAGGTTTCCATGCCGAACCATCCTTGTAAGGAGATAGGTAGGTTTATCTTGCAACCTGAATTCTCACTGAACACTCTGTGGTAACTGGGAATTGGTGACAGTTAAAGCAAGAGAAATGGGGCAGAAAAGATGGCAAAGATGATGGATGGCCTGGGTCACACAGATTGGAAGTGGAGTGCTGATTGTTTCTTGTGTCCGTGTATCTTCAAGCCCCCTGCTGTCACTCCTGGACCCGGCAGCAGGTTCTTCCAGAGTCCTACATGCTCTTCGCATGCAGTGGTGTCTGCCTCCCTGCAGCCCACATGGGGGTCTGGTGTGTGTGTGTGTGTGTGTGTGTGTGTGTGTGTGTGTGTTCAGGGCAGCGAGTAGTGTGGGCAAGTGCCCAGGTCCTGTAGACCCTGCAGCCGGGGGTGGAGAGGGGCCCCCTGTGATCGCTCCCTCACTCCGATTGTCCTTCTCTTTCCCCAGGTCTGTGTGTGATGAGCGCAGCGTCCATCTACACGGTGAGACACACAGAATGGCACATCCACAACTCTGATTACTCCTATGGATTCGCCTACATCCTGGCCTGGGTGGCCTTCCCCCTGGCTCTGCTCAGTGGGTTCATCTATGTGATCTTACGGAAACGTGACTGAGGTGCCCAGTTCATCTGAGGCTCTGGGCAGACGCAGGGGAGGGAGGAAGGAAACCTAAAAAAAGAAAAAAAGAAACAAAAAAAACCAAAAGCTAGCCAAAAACCCAAACTCAAACCAAACCAAACAGAGTGCAGTTAGGGGGGGTGGGGTTAGTGTTGATTGAAGATGTATATAATATCTACGGTTTATAAAACCTATTTATAACACTTTTTACATATATGTACATAGTATTGTTTGCTTTATGTGTTGACCATCAGCCTTGTGTTGAAACCTTAAAGAAGTAGCTAATTCCCAGTTACCACTTTACATTCTAACTGTATAATCAAGCTCAGTATTATTGTTTTGTTTTTGTTTTTGTTTTTCTGTTTTGTTTTATCCAGAAATTAAATAACTCCATCTCGCCCCTTCCCTTTCATTTGAAAGAAGATACCTCCCTCCCACTCCACCTCATTTAGAAAACCAAAGTGTGGGTAGAAAGCCCAAATGGCCAAAAGCCCTCTCACAGTGGTGACCTGTGTTCTCACAGAGGCACACGCTGCCCATGCCCACGCCAAGCCTTACGCACGTGGACAAAACCTCAAACTGGAGCCCTTGGCAAAATCACGGCTGTGGCTTCAGGATGCTCGCCCCTGAGGTGGGTGTCCTGGTCACACGTCTAGATGAGAAATTAGTGACAAAATAAAACCTATGAAATGGTGCTATGTATTTACCATTCCTTATGATCACTAATCTTCTAAACTACTCACTGGAAATTCAATTAACAATTTTACACCATAAAGTAGAATGGAGACAGAATAATTCTGTGTAATATAAATGGTTTATAACTGCCTTTGTCCCTGGCTGGGCTGCTATCATTATTATGATAATAAGTCATAAACGCAGCTTTATCACTCCCACATTTCCCTGCGGTCGGAGGGTCAGGACGAGTCTCTAGACCCTTGCGGCCATGAGTTTCCAGGGCTCCGCTGGGTCTAGGCTGTTCTCTGTCTCCAAGGACTGTCTGGCAATGACTTGTATCGGCCACCAACTGTAGATGTATATATGGTGCCCTTCTGATGCTAAGACTCCAGACCTTTTTGTTTTTGCTTCGCTTTTTCTGATTTTATATCAACTGTGTGGACTAAGATGCATTAAAATAAACATCAGAGTAACTCACTGATCTCTCTTGGGTTTTTGTGGGGACCTGGGTGTGAGTGTGAGTGTGAGGTGCATGTTGGAGTGGAGGGGAGCACTTCAGTGGAAAGGAAGTTGAGCAGATGATCAGCATTGCAGTCTGGTCCCAAAAGCGTAGCTTTGTGCAGGCCTTCCCGAAGCCTGTGCAGATGTCTGCTGATTGCACAGGGCCGAGAACTTCAGCGGAAACGGTAATGGTGAATGGACTGTAGTTCCTTTAGTCAGCCCTCTCTTGTACTCTGCTCTCTGATGACTGACATGGGGACCACAGAGCCATTCATGAGCTCACCTAATGAGGAATGAATTGAGGTCAGTCTCAGATAAAACATTGGTTGGCATCAGCTGAGCTCCTAAAACTGCCCTGAGGGAGGAAAAGGGTGACCATGTCATCCTCTGGATTCTGGGCTGTGTCTCACTCGTACTTTTACCCATTGACCTTTTATTGTGCATCTGCGATATACCAAGTTAATGATGCATTTAATATTCTTCAATATTTATTGAGCACCTATGTTGAGCCAGAGGTCAAGAGAAAATAACACAATTCTCAATCTCAAAAGGTCACATTTTAGTGAGAGGCACAAGCAAATGATGACTACATTATAATGAAGAGCATAGAAATTAGGCAGCCTGGATTTCAGTCTGCCCTTTGCCTCTTACCAGCTGTCTGAGGTTGGACATGCTACTGAAATGAAGGTGCCACGTCATGTTGATGATATGGTAGAGGCTAAAAGGACATAGTAAGTGTGAGCTACTTGGCATGGTGATGGGTAGAAAGTATCCTATAAATTAGTGTTTATCACAAATGTTATGATCGAGGCGTGGGAGAAGATGTTGATTGTTCTGGGGAATTTCAGGATTGGGCTGCACATTAGAATCCCATGCTGGGTCCACTCCGGGATTCCGATCCCTGTGTCTGGGGGGCACCCTCCCTGCTGGTGATGGCAGTGTACAGCCAGGGTGACAGCTTCTGTGACTCCCACTGATGATGAGATGTTTATGTGCTAAGGTAGCACCTGTGAAATGCAGAGTCTGGCTCTGTAGGTCTGGGGTGGGGGTGGGGCTTCTGTGTTTCCAGATAGAACCTGAACCATGCTGGTGCTGCTGGTCACACCTGAGTAACAAGGACCTAGCAGGAAGCCCCCGGCAGGATCCTCACACTCTCCTGCCCTTGGACATGGATGATGCAGGGCTTCTTCCTTCTGAGGGTCTCCATGGCGACCAGCACACTCTGCCTCTGACTCCGACTGATTGGTTCAGTGGCACAGATGGCCATGAAATGCACGTGAGACACAGGCGATTGGGAAGCTGGGAATCTTACTTCCAAGCTCATGCTTTGCAAATGTGTACAGGCATACCTCGGAGACTGTGGGCCAGTGCCGGACCACTGCCGTACATCAAGTCCACCATCCTGCTGGTGAGGCTTTTGCACAGCATCTGCAAAGTGCAATAAAATGAAGTCTGCCTGCACTTGTATTTCATTAACTCTCTTTTATAGACTATAAAGAAGGACATTTCATAATGATAAAAAGCTCAGTGCACCAGGAGGGTGTAACAGTTGTCAACATATATGCACCTAATATTAGTACACCAAAATATACGAAGCAAAAACTAACAAAAATGAAGGGAAAATAGACAACTAATAAGTGTTGGAGACCTAAATACTTCATTCATGGGGTAAACAACTGAACAGAAAATCATCAAAGAAATAAAATACTTGAAAAGCCCTCTGAAACAATTGGATTTAACAGAAATCTGTAGAACATTCCACCTAACACCCACAGCAGATATATTCTTCTCACAGGTACACAGACTCAGCCTCCAAGACATGTCACATGCAAGGCCATAGAACAAATCTCAATAAATTTAAGAGGACAAAAATAACACAAAGTTATTTTCCCACAATAGGAAGAAATTAGGAATCAATAGCGGGGGGAAATTGAGAAATAAATATGTGGAAATTAAACAACACACCACTAAATAAACAATAAGTTAAAGAAGAAATCAAAAGAAAAGTCATAAAATACTTTGAGGTAAATGAAAATGAAGAAATAACATATCAAAATTTAGGGGAGGCAGCTAAAACAGTGGTTAAAGTGAAAATTATAGTTATAAATGAATATTAAGATCTGAAATTAATCTAGCCTTCTACCTTACAACACTGGAGAAAGGAAAGCCTATTAAACTGATAGCATAAGGAAGAAATTAATAAAGATTAGAACAGACACTTACAAAATGGAAACAGAAAAAAAATAGAGAAAAATCAGGGAAACCAAAAGCTGTTTTATTTGTTTTTGTTTTTTAAGATAACAATGTTGCCCTAACCGGTTTGGCTCAATGGATAGAGCGTCGGCCTACGGACTGAAGGGTCCTGGGTTCGATTCAGGTCAAGGGCATATACCTTGGTTGCGGTCACATCCCCAGTGAAGGGTGTGCAGGAGGCAGCCGGTCGATGTTTCTCTCTCATTGATGTTTCTAACTCTCTATCCCTCTCCCTTCCCCTCTGTAAAAAATCAATAAAATATATTTTTTAAAAAAGATAACAATGTTGACAACTCTTTAGCTAGATTTATTGTGATATAAGAAGAAATATATATATTAGGTGTTCCTCATGGGTTCCAGGCACAGAACTGAAACCCTCGTAATTTCCTGAGTGAAAAGAGAGGAGGAATTTATTGTTCATACTATGCCCCTTCCAATCACACCAAGTTTATGCTAATGAGGTGATATGTGGAGGATGAGAGCTGGTTGCCAGAGGAATCAGCCCAGTGATTAGAAAGTTGGAAATTCAGTCCCACCTCCTGACTTCTGGAGGGGAGAAGGGCTGCAGATTCAGTTAATCACCGTGTAGTGGGATCTGTAAAAATCCTAGTATGGGGCAGGGAGCTTCCAGTTTGGTGAACAAATCCACGTGCAGGGAGGGTGGTGCACCTCAAGTTCCATGGGTTGGAAGCTTCTGCACTCGAGATGCTCCCAGACCTCACCCTATGTACCTCTTCATCTGGCTGCTCACCTGTGTCCTCTATAAAATCCTTTATAACAAACCAGTACATGTAAGGAAAGTGCTTTCCTGAGTCCTCTGAGCCATTACAGCAAATTAGTGAATTGAGGTTAGTGTCCTGGGAACCCCTGACTTGGATCCAAGTTGGAGGAAGTGTGGGTAACCCCGGGACCCACTACTTGCAATTGTCATCTGAAGTGGGGGCAGTCTTCTGGGACAGAGCCCTTACCCTGTCCGTCCTACACTGACTCTGGGTCATCAGTGCCAAGAGAGAATGAAATGGTAGGACACCCAGTAGTTCTGCAGAGAATTGGAAAATTTCTTGATGTGGAACACCCTGCACATTCAGTATCAGAAATGTTGTGATTTATGAATAGAGAATTTGTGACTAGAGAAACAGTTTTCCCTTAATGACAAAAAAAAAACACAAAAAAACCCCCCCCCCAAAAAAAAACACCAAACAAACAAAAAAAAAAACACACACAAAACACCAGAATCAGAAGTGATAGAAGGCACAGTATACTGATCCTAAAGAAATTAAAAAAAAAAAAAGATTGTGAAGGAATACTATAAGATTGTGAAGGAATACTATGAACAGTTGTATTCCAATAATTAGATAACTTAGATGAAAGGATAAATTCCTAGAAAGATATAATTACAGGAAAACTTTGATATAATAGACTAATTCGGGTCTAGTTAAGTGTGTGCATTCACCAGTCACCTCAAGTAAACAGATGCACCTGGCTGGCGCGAGGCTTAGCACACCTGGGAACATCAGTCTGCAGGGGTTAAAAGTGCTGCAGAAAGTCACACCATAAGACAACGGAACCAATGCCACCCAGGATGTAGTGTGCTCACATGCTAATCATTCTCAGAGCAATGTTTACAAACAGTGACTCTTGGATTTAAATAAGTAGACTATAGTTGCAGGTATGCAATATTGATTTATGTCTGTGAAATTACGACAGTGTTGTTCCAACATATGGCCTATTAGCTAAAATTTGTTAAAAATAACAGTGAATTAATAACAAAAAAATTAACTTGTAACTTAATTATAAGCAAATCTTGGTTAAACACATTTTTAAATTAACAGGGTATTAATTTTCACACATGACATATGGACAGGAAATTTTGTCCATTATGTCCAAAGTCTGTTAAATTGAGGTCCATAAAATTGATGGTTTACTATACAGAAACTGACTCAAGAATAAATAATCTTAATAGATCTATAACAAGTGAAGAGATTCAAGTAGTTATAAAAACAAGAACAACAAAAACTACCCAACCAAAATCAGATAAAAACACTACAAAGAAAGAGAATTACAGGCCAATATCTCTGATGAACATAGATGTTAAAATCCTCAACAAATCCTAGAAAATTGGATCCAGCATTACATTAGAAAGATCATACACCATGACCAAGTGGGATTTATTCTGGGGATGCAAGGATGGTACAATATCTGCAAATCAATAAACATGATATATCACATAAACAAATTGACACACAAAAACCACATAGTCATATCAATAGATGCAAAAAAGGCATTTAACAAAATCCAACACCATTTCCTGATAAAAACTCTCAGCAAAGTGGAAATAGAGGGATCATACCTCAACATAATAAAAGCCTTATATGACAAACCTACAGCCAAAATCATACTCAGTGGGCAAAAAACTAAAACCATTTCCCCTAATAAGAACAAGACAGGGATGCCCACTCTCACCACTCCTATTCAACATAGTACTGGAAGCACTAGCCATAGTGATCAGGCAAGAAGAAATAAAAGAGTCCAAATTGGAAAATAAGAAGTAAAACTGTCATTATTCGCAGATGACATGATATTGTACATAGAAAACACTAAAGACTCCATCAAAAAACTACTAGATTTAATAAATGAATTCGGCAATGTAGCAGGTGTTAACAAAATTAACACCCAGAAATCTATGGCTTTTTTTATACACTAATAATGAACTCAGAGAAAGA